AAAGCCTTTTGAAATCTTTCCTAAGGCCTTGACTGTTGTAACCTTGATCAAACCACTTTTGAGCAAGATAAGATTATGTTAAAGTCTATGTAGTTCCGGAATGAGTAATATTACAATTGGGTACATTAGACTTTGTTATCCGTCTGATAACGCTGGACTTTCTGATATGACAGATGGCAACATTACACTGTATTCTTCGGCAAACACCAATGATGACAGATAGTTTTGTTCTGCCCATATAAGATTAGACAAGTGGCAATACGCATGGCTACAGTACATTTGAGCTACTGTCATTTGAAGTATATTTTTCGTTTTAGTATTGTGTACAATTTTCACGACATTAATTGTTTCTGTATATGCAATGTTAAATGTGTAGTATTTCAGACGGTTCATAACATTGTGTTTTCTTTGTTTTATTGCGAGCATGTGGACTATTCTAGAGGGATCCTTACATTCTGTTTTCCTTCTATATCTAGGACATCTGCTGACTGGTGATTTTAGTGACGCTTGCATTTGCATTTGTTGCAATGTGTATCAATACACACATAAGTTTTATTTGTAAATTATGTCAAGAAAACACGAGCAAAGTGAAACGAGATCTTAGCAATACTGTTCACATGAAAGACTAATTAAAAAATCTCAATGTTGAAGGTACTTCAATGCCCGCATGAACAAAATTGCTCTTGCTATGCGTTTCTGATGCAGTTGTATAATATGGCTAAACATATCTTTACGGAAGGGTAAAACATTAAAAACTAGCTTCATTCATGTTTGCAATATACACGACTGAAACAGGTTGCACGAATTAGTACTTTGCTAGCTTTCACTTCTGTTGCCAGAATCTGTCTTGATGTGAAATGTATACACAACAATGATTTGCGTTCATATATATTGACAGATGCCTGACTTTTTTCAGGTTCTCTTGAACATACAACATCGTTGCAATGGAAAGGTTTAGTCCTTGTAGTAAAATTAGCATCATAGACCTTCAATATTAATGCTTTGAAATAACAAATGGCCTCTCTGCGTCAACGTTAAAACACCGAGGTATTAAATGGAATAGGGCGGGATATTATGGATGCGGTAGACTGACATCCAATGAGAGGCACGTGATTGTAGCGCGACCGGATAGTTCTGGTTTTGGTTGTTGTTCAACGCCCTCTCAACGATTGTCCAGCCACGCGGTTTGTAGATAATCGATTCTGACCATGAGCATCGATATACGCAATTAGGATACAATGAAATGCATCAACCAAGTCAGCGAGCATGACCACCCGATCCCGTTAGAGGCACAGTCGAGCATGCAAGATTTCAAAAGCGTCATACGTCTCTAGCTCACAAGTTGTTTGATCAAGGTCACAACATTCAAGGCCTCAGTAAAGCTTTCAAAAAGCTTTATGGTAGACATGTGGAAGATATTTTCCAAACTTAACGCATCAGTGACAAAAAATATGTCTGAAATTGCCTATTTTGACTAATACCATATGTTCCCTTTTTCAGGTGAACAATTGACTTGCCTTAGTGTGTGTGTGATGAGCGACACCGGTGGGGCAGGATACGCTCACCTTTTCGCGAACACCTGGTATCATTACTATTTGATAGTGATTCATAAACACATGCTCATGATACATGAATGTTGCCGAAGACCAATTTGATCTCAGATCTTCTTATGGTGGGTAGAAGTATAACTCGAAGTATTAACGTCGGTCCCTTCTACTTCGACACAACGGTGTTTGACTGTATATCATTGTGGTCTGTAAGGAAAGAGTCTGAGTCAGCAAACCAGTGGTTGATGGCGCGTGTTACGATCCACACCATAACGGTACTTCAGCAATTGCACCACCTGATCTTCATCATCAAGGAATGTTTTGAAGAGTCAACGACACTGAATTAAATAAACAAAAAACTGGAAAACAATAAATATTCCTAAATTCCAAAAAAGCAAAACGCACCAGTGCTTCGCTGCACTCATATCTGTGCAAACTGTGATGACAAATATTGAACAGTCTTTGAGTTATGCTTCAGACTCAAAACCAAGTCACCTTTGATCCTTCGTCCAATTTGTTATCAAGGAAACCAAAAAGATAATATCCGAAAGGCACTTGAGAATAGTTCGACTACACAAATAATATTATTTTCTCACTGTCGTACAAGTATCGAAAATTGCACGCCTGAATATTAGTAGCTCCAGAGGAACATCTGTCGTCCATAACTCAAGACATATATTTTTTATTGTTTAATGCTCTTCATCGCATCTTCATCATTGTAAAATAGGTATGGAAAACACGTTTTTATCACGTTTCGATTGTTAAAATCTTCTTATGAGGATAACCGAAATGCTCTCTCTCTCTCTCTCTCTCTCTCTCTCTCTCTCTCTCTCTCTCTCTCTCTCTCTCTCTCTCTCTCTCTCTCTCTCTCTCTCTCTCTCTCTCTCTCTCTCTCTCTGCATATGCCTCGAAGTGTCTATGATATAGCATCTTGTCCAACACATTTAATGTTTGGTTGATGGATCTTCCCTTTGTCAGTTTTAAACGTGTTTATAGATTGTGTAACATCTGTTTCATTAAATTTCAATAGAGTGAATCATTATTATGAGTACTAAAATTAATAGGAGATGCTTGAACATCGCAACCACATTTGCAGCCCAGGCCCATCGTCAAATCTTCCTAGATTTGGAAAAGCTCATCTTTTTTTATCTTTGAACAGACATTCAAAACAGTCTAATGACGCACTCAGTGTTCCTTTCAATAACTGAATATAGTCATGGTAATCGGTGACTGTAGGCACGAGAAATGGTTCTCGCCACAATGCCTGTTCCTGCATGCAATGAACCCCACGAGCATGTTGATCAGTGAATCTGCACGTGTGCTTGAAAATTCTGGAATGAATACGCTTTGTATCAACGTTGATGTTCACAGCTAATTATTCGTTTTTCGATTCCTAAAAACATCCACAAAATCCGATAGATCATAAAATGTATGTTGTGATAATTTAGTGGATTATCAATGACATGTAGTGTTAAACATTCTATGAAGATAAGTTTCACACACACACACACACACACACACACGCACACGCACGCACACCTGAGACTTGGGGATTCCTGTCAATGGTCTGCCTGGTGTAGCGTCGAATATAGTAAGACGCTTGAAATACACAAAAGTGGACTTGTCATTCTTGCGCGTCCATCCGTTCTAATAATTTTCAATAAATGTCAAAATAACGGCCCTCACACTCAACATTAACCGATGTTTGTTTAGAATGAAGATCTAATTATTGATTTGATGTCTTATTGAGAAGGTTTACGAGTACTAGAAGACCAACCTGTAGGTCCCGTGACCAAATCACGGAAACGAAGGTTTGACAGTGTTTTTGAGTTTCCTGATGTATACTGAACAATTTTGACTTGGGCTGCCCGGTTGAAAATCCCGGGCATTTTGGGGAAGGGTCAACAAAGGTCAATCAGGGGTCAAAATTCAAAATCGTGTCGATATGCATATCAAATTACTCGTCCAGTCATAAGGAACCTAGAAATATATAGTTGGTTATACTTCCGACCTTAAATGGGGGAGCTGTGGCCAAAAACGTTGAAAGGTCAACGCACTTTTGGCAGTCGGTGAAATTCACAAACACAGTTAACATTGTCCGATAGTCATGATTTTAGTGTCTAATAATATGTTTTCTGACATGACAAATTCAACCAAGCAACTTTTAAAAGTAAAAAGGGTTACCTTGACCTTGAAAATCGAAAATGGTTGGCTGCACGAAGAATTGTAATGCTTCAGCAAAGTCACATGATCCTTGGCCAATAACGCAGCATATTTCAGAATCCATTGTCCAGAAATGCTTTTCTAACCTTACTTTAGTGCACAGTTCATCACCCTACTCTGTGTCATACCCATCAGATGCAGAGTCGGAATCACTGTCACAATCACTAGTATCTGAATCTGTGTCCGATTCTACAGAGCAGTTTGCTCTAGCATCACTCAGATGTTCAGGCAGTGCTGGCTGTGAATACCGTATTGGCAAGTAAGCATTTCTGGACAATGTATTCTGAAATATGCTGCGTTATTGGCCAAGGATCATGTGACTTTGCTGAAGCATTACAATTCTTCGTGCAGCCAACCATCGACACAATTTTGAATTTTGACCCCTGATTGACCTTTATTGACCCTTCCCCAAAATGCCCGGGATTTTCAACCGGGCAGCCCAAGTCAAAATTGTTCAGTATACATCAGGAAACTCAAAAACACTGTCAAACCTTCGTTTCCGTGATTTGGTCACGGGACCTACAGGTTGGTCCTTGACTATGCATGATCTCCCATGGCTCATGGATTAAAATGACTGCCCTCCTCCGAAAGACCAAGGTCATATATCACATTAACAAAGATGTCATTGCCCATTCCAGTATAGATCAAAACACGATTCTGGCTAAACATACATTGTACGTCACCAATGCCCCGTGCTTGCCGACCATGATGAGGATTGGGTGTTCACAATGTTGGTTCTGATAGACACAGTTACTGAGTATAATACCCGACGGCGTGGAGCGCTGCTTGTGGTTTGCCTGTCCACGTCCTTGTCATAAAACTGGAATATTGCTGGCAACGACGTTTACCATCAATTACTCAAGCTTGTGTATTTGTCAATCGGGCACAACCCGTGTTTTAATGAGGCGGCATCACGTAAAATTGTTGTCTCATTTAATAGTCAAATTCTGCTGAGTTTGTGCCAGTGCAGTTTGTAGGCGTTAGGCCATGAAGAAAGTAACACAATATTCTCATGATATTATATGACTTAGGTGACAGTATAATGTTTACATGTTGCAACAATTAACATACATACTGGAGACGGGTTCTGGTCTAAAAGTGTCAATACGTTGATTGCAGAGGCAGATGGGGTGCTCTTGAAATACAAAGGCACATGTCGGGAAATGGAACCATCTGGTTAATAAAATGGGAGAGGCGTGACTTAAAACAAGTGGAAAGGATAAAAAGAAATAGATGAGCAACCTATTTTACGAGAAGGATAGTCTGCATCCGCCATGTTGAAGGTTGTCGTGTGCTTAGCGTTAGTTTTCCTCCTGTTTGGACCAAGTCAACAGCGACGTCCTGCCGGGGAAAGTAGGTTATACCATTGAATACGATGTCGAATTGGGACCACGAGTCGGGGACAAACCATTTAATATAATGTTCTTAGTTTTTGTGGTCACTTCGAAACTAAATCTTATCCTGAAATGCACTGAAACAATTAGTTTCCTTGCTTAAAACCAAAATGATTTTACACCACCATTTTCTGGTACGCAAATCCCAGGTCCCTCTAGCAAATAGAACAGTTGGTTCCTTATTTGTTCCTGAAGGATGCTACCGGTAAGGCAGAACATGCTTACCCTTTTTGTCGAATTTTTTCATTGTCCCTGAAAATTCTGGAAAATAATAATTATGCTTCAGACTAGATAGACACCATTTTTATGGATAACAACTTCTTTAATACTGGGAAAAGCGACGTTTCGGTATAGATCCTTATACCGTTGTCAAGCAAGACAGTCTTGCTTGACAACGGTATAAGGATCTATACCGAAACGTCGCTTTTCCCAGTATTAAAGAAGTTGTTATCCATAAAAATGGTGTCTATCTTGTCATCCGTCAACTTCTAAGTAATGCCTATCAAACAAGTTATGCTTCAGACTGTGGAAAGGTAGAAATTGCCTGTCACAAAGTTACATTTCTTCAAAAATATAAAATCAGGCTTATGGTTAAATATGTTTATTTTTTTAATCTGGTTTTGGAGCTGTATTTGAAAAGCTTTCGATACAAAATCCTTAAGAGTCGTCTTCATGATTCGGGTGGTCAGGCTTGGTGACTTACTTGATTGCTGACCCGTGACCATCCGGGTGAGTATAGGCCTTTAGCATCCCATACTTGCCGTAAAAGGCGTCCTTTTAGATGGCACAATAGGCGTGTCATAGTTCTAAAACTACTGGGGCGGTCGGGGAGCCTAGTGGTTAAAGCGTTCGCTCGTCACGCCGAAGACCCGGGTTCGATTCCCGACATGGGTACAATGTGTAAAGCCCATTTCTGGTGTCCCTCGCCATGATATTGCTGGAATATTCACTCACTCTAAAACTACTATAATTAACCTATATATGTTTTGTATTTTTCTCAATATTTTATCTTCCAACTAGCCAAACCTAAATATATTTCTGTAGATAATATAAGTCAGTTGCTGTCAATGTAACTCACGCTAGGGTAACGCCCCAGGCTGTAACATGCTGTGTTGTGCCGGACACACCGTCATTTTAGTATCAGATAGGTAGGAATATAAAGGATATTGTGTGGTCAGTGCACTCCGTAACTTACAAATAATTGTAATTAATACACCAGGCATGTGGCAGATTTAGACCATAGCTTCAATATTGGGTAACTAACGCATTCTACAGAAGGCCTGAGTCCCTATACGAGTCCAGTGGCAGATACTTCACTCTGCCAAGAATAAAGACGTAAAGGGACTCAGCAGCCTTCTCTCTGTTTTAAGGTAAGATAACATTATCAAATTTCCCTTGCCTTATTCTCATATGATATCCTGTGCACGCCGCCATATTTTACCATGTTTGGATATCCTTAACAATAAATTATGTTTTTATTTATTATACCGCAAAGCAACTTAAATGTTAATTGTATGTGTGTGTTTATATAGATATTAGTAGATTTGTTCACTGGTACATTAACTGCTGATATGCCAAGTGATAGATAAAGCCGTACATTACATAGCATGAGAAAGAGTACATAGTGGTAAATACCCGCGGGTAATCTCAAGTAAATACCGTCTCATACGAATATTGGCCATGCTAGGTCTATCATTTGGTTAAGAATTTACGGCATTGAAATTATACAGTATGTTAAATACATTTTTATGTAAAAACATGAATAACGCTAGAGTGCCGTAAATGTAAATGTTAACAGTTTCCTATATGAAATACCTTAGCTAGAATAACATAAAATACTTCCGAGTCCTTTACTATAGACAATTCGCTTTTTGTACCTTATTTATTAGAACAACCCTGTTAAGAAACGTTCATACCAGTCGCTATCAATTCATGTATGGTTGTCAATTATACATTTAATGTGATAAGGCACTGACTGCATCTATCTTGTAATGTAATAGTGTTTGAATATATCTATATATATGAAACTTCACTCAACGAATAAAGACTTAAAGGGACTCAGCAGCCTTCTCTCTGTTTTAAGGTGATAGCCGAGTAATCAGCTCTACCAAGTTAATTCCCCCACTATCTTGGACATTGTGACGTAGCAAATGGGACCACGCCCACACAAGGCAAAACAGTCCCAAAAACCAAGATACGTCAGGTGGATAAAATGCATTCTTTGCCTCTAAAATAATTTTCAGGTGTACATTGCTGTATAAACTGTAGGCATCGACAAAACTGTCCACTTATCTGATGACCATGGTATGATACGGACAATAATGGACAGTGTCTGGTGGATCAACCACATCCAACCACTGAACGAGAATATAAAATATAAAATGTCCAGTAAAGTTAAGTTTCTGAAACAAGAATGTGTGCTTTGTCGTTTGCCTGAAATAATAATATATATATATTGTCCTATCCACCATTCACGCGATGATTACAAAGCGCTAACATTATTAACCTGGTCAGTGTGCACTGGATTTGGATTCTCAGCTCCCTGGGGACTATTCAACCCTTGTCAGGCTCTAGAAGGTTAACAGCCACATTTCCATTTCATCCCACCGGGTACCCATTTTTACTGCTTGGTGAACAGAGGGACATTTAGAACACATTCACTTGCCTAAGAAGACACCACATGTGATTCAGTGTTGGGCAGAAATGAAGCGTTAGTCACTCTGCCGAACGCGGTCACCCATCCGACCACTCTCCGAGACCGAGATTTCACCTGATTTGTGACCTGTGCGCTGTGCAGCACGTGCCAGGCAGAATTCACTGGTAAAATACATAGAATGTATTCCACGTCAGTTGGACAAAGTGAATATGTGACCCAACTAGTTTGTATGATAAGTCAGAAAGCTGCTTCATATTGCAATAGCCGTTTAGTATATCAAGGTTATGTGGAAAGCTATTCTTGTGTTGCTATCTAGCTGTGTTATATGGTATGTAAGATGGCTAGCTTACTGAAGTCTCATTCTGATATTGTCAGGTAGTTGAATGTGTGTGATATACATTTCCCTAACCCATTGTCATTTTAGTTTGCAACCTGAAACATGAAAGAGGACGGTGTAAAGCCTTTCACCGCCGTGTCTTCTATAATCCTCTGACCAAACAGTGTGAGAGCTTCACGTACGGCGGTTGTGGTGGGAACGCAAACAACTTCAAGAACATCGGAGCCTGTGAGAAAGTTTGTAAACCTGGTATGTCAAGGGATGTTGTTCAACATCGTTTTCCCTTTTATGAATGTTTGGGGGGCACGCGGATGGGGGCAGTTTTAAAAGGTGACATAATTCGCTGCGCAGGCCTTTAATCAGGGGTTCGAATCCCGGTTCGCTCGAACTCTGCTTTGAGGTTTGTCAGCCCAATACCCGTGCTCGTGGGTTTGACCAAAGTGGTGAGCGTCTAAGACCAGGGTATTTGTGGTCTTACCTCCAAGTGACATGCCGTGATATAACTGAAATACTGTAAAGCCCCCGTTACACTATCAAAAACTTTGATAAAAAACTTGGTCAAAGAAAACTTTAACCAAGTTTTCTTGGTCCAAGTTGGACTGTTTACACTCATCAAAGTTTTTGGCAGGCCGTCAAAGTTTTTGGTGGGAATTATCTTGCCAAGGTGGATGCTACTGACGAAGAATTGTTTGCTCTTGCTATATGTATTGCCATGTTGAGAAGGTGGCGTCGGGGTAGGCAAAGGCATATTTGGTCCCGAGAATGGCTGCTCGTTGTTGAAACAAATCAATTAATTCTTGCAACATCTCGTCAGTCCAAAATAGTTGACTCATTTTGACTTGACTCTATGCACTTCGGGTTGAAAAGGGGTAAATCGTCCTTGCAGTCTGATTGGCTAAATTAAATCAACGTCATTAAACTTTGATCAAAGTTTGACGAGAAATAGGATCGGTTTCTATTCCATCAAAGTCCCGTCAAAAACTTTGACAAAGTCTTTGACGGCATGTTACACTATCCAAAACTTGGTCAAAATGTTTGATAGTGTAACGGGGTCTTAAGTTTTACGTTCAAAGCGGCGTCAAACCAGTCACACACTCATGTATGTTCGGATGTGATATCCTGTAAATACAATTTCCATAATATTCCTCCTGGTCTGTCTACATGATGTGTTATATAATTGTGTATACACTACTATTTACCTAACAATTCTACACGTCGCTTGTATTCAGTTACAGTTTATTACATTACATAATCTCATTTTTATTAACATAGTGTCTTAAATTGCAGATTATGAGATTACATTAAGTTGGCAGGGAAACATTTCTATATGTAGATTGTGTTACAAAGTGCTACGAGGGTTGATTGACAAGATCAGTATGCTGTTGTACAAAGCGATCTTAGCGCTAGGGTTTGTCGTCACTCCCATACCTTAACATAGATTCACGACAGTCGTAGCGCTAAGGTTGTTTTGTACACACGGAACCACGAGCCTCACAATAGAAGTAAGGTAATGGTTCAATATTTTGTTGTGGACATTACACGATGTAATAATAGAGGTATGGCCACACACAAATTCGCGTGAAGTTGACACGCCGTGATATAACTGTAAGACTGTTCACTCACTCACCTTAATGAACAATGGAATATAGTTATGGTTTTTTTAAGGTTGTCAAGACCAGCCCAGTCCTGGACGATGCAGGGGGAAAATTAATCGTTTCTACTACGACGCTAGCAGTCAACGATGTAAGCGGTTTATCTACCACGGCTGTGGCGGCAACACTAACAACTACCGAACGAGGGGGGCCTGTATGAGGGCGTGTGGCTATATCTAGCCTGTTATTCAATTAAAACAATACAACCTATATTGGGCTTATTGTTATCTCTCTAGATTAGAAATCAAAGGGTGCCCCTTAAGTGATTGCAAATTCAGAACTCGTCTGTATCTGGTGCGGCAATGTAGAAAACACCATCCTGGAACGTTACTTTGTTTGTTTGTTGTTTAACGCCGCACGCAGCAATATTCCGGCTGTATGACGGCGGTCTGTAAATAATCGAGTCTGGACCAGACAATCCAGTAATTGACATCATGAGCATCGATTCACACAATTGGGATCGATGACATGCATCAACCAAGTCAGCGAGCCTGACCACCCGATCCCGTTAGTCGCCTCTTACGAAAAGCATAGTAGCCTTTTGGGTGAAGCATGGGTTGCTGAAGACCTATTCTACCCCGGATTGATGACATGAACATTCAACAGCATGCAGCCGTCATATAGCTGGAATATTGCTGAGTGCGGCAGTAAACAACCAACCAACCAACCAAATCATGTCATCAAGGAATATTATTCAGATGTGATCAGACGTTCCTAAACATCATGTTTCAATATTTGTATCATTCAGATGTGTGGTGTGTTAGACGTTCCTAAACATCATGTCCTAATATTTGTATAATTCAGAAGTGTGGTGTGTTAGACGTTCCTAAACATCATGTCCTAATATTTGTATAATTCAGAAGTGTGGTGGGTTAGATGTTCCTCAACATCATGTTCTAATATTTGTTTAATTTAGATGTGTGGTGAGTTAGACGTTCCTCAACATCATGTTTCAATATTTGTATAATTCAGATGTGTGGTGTGTTAGACCTTCCTAAACATCATGTTTCAATATTTGTATAATTCAGAAGTGTGGTGTGTCAGACGTTCCTCAACATCATGTCATAATATTTGTATAATTCAGATGTGTGGTGTGTTAGACGTTCCTCAACATCATGTCCTAATATTTGTATAATTCAGAAGTGTGGTGTGTTAAAACCTTCCTCAACATCATGTCCTAATATTTGTATAATTCAGATGTGTGGTGTGTTAGACGTTCCTCAACATCATGTTTCAATATTTGTATAATTCAGAAGTGTGGTGTGTTAGACGTTCCTCAACATCATGTCCTAATATTTGTATAATTCAGAAATGTGGTGTGTTAGACGTTCCTCAACATCATGTTTCAATATTTGTATAATTCAGAAGAGTGGTGTGTTAGACGTTCCTCAACATCATGTCCTAATATTTGTATAATTCAGAAGAGTGGTGTGTTAGACGTTCCTCAACATCATGTTTCAATATTTGTATAATTCAGAAGTGTGGTGTGTTAGACCTTCCTAAACACCATGTCTTAATATTTGTATAATTCAGAAGAGTGGTGTGTTAGACGTTCCTCAACATCATGTCTCAATATTTGTATAATTCAGAAGTGCGGTGTGTTAGACGTTCCTCAACATCATGTTTCAATATTTGTATAATTCAGAAGTGCGGTGTGTTAGACCTTCCTAAAGATCATGTCCTCATATTTGTATAATTCGGAAATGTGGTGTGTCAGAGGTCCCCAAATAGCATGTCTCAATATTTGTATAGTTCAGATGTGTGGTGTGTTCGGTGACTTCCTTACCTAACGTCTTATTAGTAATATAGTTAGGGTTGTGCTACGTCAGGGCTCTCATACATTGTGTCAATATTGGTATCGTTCGGGTTGTAAAGAGTTGCAGTGATCAGGGTTCTCTTCAATTATCAAAAAAAGCCATGGGATGTGTGATATCTTGCAGTGATTAGGAGTGATCTTACAACAAGCAGGAACCAGGATGTTTGGTAACAGATGTCAGATTTTTAAAAATGTAGGCTTTGTATCCAACATGACATCGGCTGAGAACTTTCAGGCCAAGGAAAAACACTTTCAGTGTGTACTCCTGGCCCAAACTTGCCCTTGATGATAGCCTTCCGCTCATCGACAAGTTGGACCAGGAGCAAGGTCTGGTCAGATGACTAATTAGGTTTGCGCTTCACTGCAATGATTTGTGCGGAAGCCATCGCGCGAAGTGTTGACAGATGCACGCCCGCGTGTTGACATCACGTGACAGTCATGCGATACAAAATCATGCCTCTAAAACTGAAGAGTGCACGGAATTCTAAATATAGAACAGGGATTTCCCTGGTTACGGCCAATGTCCGAACTGAGAGTTACTCTCACAGTTTTACTTTACTCTCAGAGTCATTATGATTACACCCTTAAGTGTAACACTTAGCTAAGATTTTTTAGCGAGTAAAGAGTATTCTTAAGAAAATTCTAAGAATGTTTAAGAATATCGCCACTGATCACAAGAAATGGGATTCGACACCATTCTTCTCGGAGAGCCTATGATAACGTATTGTTTAGTGCTCTTACTTTGTCAGTCAATGTTATCCCACAAGTGTTCTATGGCGCTCGGCATTAGGGGCTAAAACAAGGACTGGTCCGATCGGAGTCAGTATACTGTGTCTGTGTGGGGTATTCATGTTAAACTGCGGCATGGTATCTCAGTGGGCTGGCACTATAAATCGGCATCAGTCCGGACTAGTACAAGCAGCCACACACACTCACACACACGCACGTGCATGCAAGTCGCTATATTAGTTCAATAATCTTGGACGCGACGTTAAACCCAATTTCACCTCACCTCGCCACAAGTGTTCTATGGATGATAATTCTGGTGATTGCGATGGCCAAGTCAATTTTTAGATGTTGTATGGGGTTGTTTTTTGCGGGGATTCTGATGCAAGAGTGTGAGTGAGTGTGTGTGTATGGTTTTACGCCGCTTTTAGCAATATTCCAGCAATATCACGGCGGGGGACACCAGAAATGGGCTTCACACATTGTACCCATGTCGGGAATCGAACCGGGTCTTCGGCGTGACGAGCGAACGCTTTCACCACTAGGCTACCCGACCGCCCCTCTGATGCAAGAACGGTAGAATGACGAGATAGAGAGATTGGTCAATATAACGCTATCCAGTGATGTTTTCTTCCAAAGTCACTAGATCTGTCTTGACTTGGCTACATGTGGATGCCGCCCCAAACCATGATGTCGCTACCTCCAAGCGGCTCAGCATCTTGAAAACTGACCGTGACTGAAATCCTGGAATCTGTTCACTCCTGTGACCTGGACTCTTTACAGGTTTCTGTTCTACCTGTGTTCCAGCACGCCGATGCTGTTCCCGTATCAGCGTTACGTCTCGTAGTGGTCTGTAAGCTCTAGTACCGACAGTTTTCTGGACACGGTTCGGTGACTGACAGGATGACCATCTTACGTCAGTTTAATGTGGGAGGAAAGGTCGAAGTGATGCAGGTCTCAGACGTTTTCCACTTCGGTGAAACCCTGAAGCACGGGTATGGGGCTGACAAACCTAGAAACATAATCGGGGCAAACCGGTATTCGACCCCACAATCATAGGTTTCTGGCGTGTCCAAGGGACGCAACTCTGCACAGCAAATCGCGGCGCCTTAGACGACTGGGCCACCCGTGCCCCCTGTGGGGGGAATGGCCAAACTGATGCAGGTCTTAGACGTTTTCCGCTTCGGTGAAACCATGGAGCACGGGTATGGGGCTGACAAACCTAGAAACATAATCGGGGAAAACCGGTATTCGACCCCACAATCATAGGTTTCTGGCGTGCCCAAGGGACGCAACTCTGCGCAGCGAACTGCGGCGACCATTCATCTGCATAGTTACTGTTTCAGTAAACAGTGATCAAATAATTAAATTTAAACACTCTTCCCATGGTCTGTATTTGAAATGTGACGTAAAAAGGTCTCTATTTTACGAAGTAAAAAATTTCAGCTCCCAAAAATGAAGAAAAGAACACGACAACTCACCAACCCATCCCCCTTAATATTAAATGATTCGCCCCTTAGTAGTATATCTGCGGTCATACAAGGAAAGTTCCGTTTGATTCTTTGCATACTGAGGAGAACTGATGGGTTACTGAAAAACGATTTTTGTTTCAGCTACAAAAATGTTAATTAAGAGTTTTCTATATTCACCCATACACCTTAAAACAAGAGGCCCATATAATGCCTGTATCGCTCACCTGGATATATACGCAATCATGACGAAATATACATTTGCATTGTACATGTATATAAAGCCCTCGTTACACTATCAAGAACTTTGATCAAAACTCCATTTTGACCAAGCTTTTGATAGTGTAACATGCCTTATGACTTTGATCAAAGTTTGATGACGTTGATTTAATTTAGCCAATCAGACTGCAAGGAACATTTACCCCTTTTCAACCGGAAGTGCATAGAGTCAAGTCAAAATGAGTCAACTATTTTGGACTGACGAGATGTTGCAAGAATTAATTGATTTGTTTCAACAACGAGCAGTCATTCTCGGGACCAAATATGCCTTTGCTTACCCAGACGCCGCCTTCTCATCATTGCAATACACAACATACATATGGCAACAGCAAGCAGTTCTTCGTTAGTAGCATCCACCTTGGCAAGATAATTCCCACCAAAACTTTGACGGCCTGTCAAAAACTTTGATGAGTGTAACAGTCCAACTTGGCCCAAGAAACCTCTGTCAGCATTTAAAATAGGAGGATGGCAAATCTGACAACATGACCGTGTATTTCTCTAGATACAAATGTAGCATAAAGATCTGAACCGTTTCAATGTTATGATCCAGGATTTAAGTTTCCAGAGGCAAGGCTGGACCCTAGGGCGAATCCTTTTGGCATAAATGTATTATTCTCTTCAAAACAAACAAATGTATACAATGTATGTTTATTATAGGTCGGGGATAATATCGGTTTGCATGTTATGGTCGAGGTTCCTTTGGGAGTGCCGGACAGAATTGTACAAATGGTAATACGGTGGGGATCTTAACTGTGTTATAAATTCTTTTAGGCCCCGCCCCTCAGACCCTGGTGTGTGTGTGTGTGTGTGTGTGTGTGTGTGTGTGTCAGCCCCTCCATTTGTACAATCGTGAAAACCCACCACCTGAGAATACTTCCAACCAAATATGGTTGATGTCAATCTCTTAGTTCCAAAGTAAAAGTCGTTTAAAGCAATATTGCCAAATTACCTTTATAGCCCCTCCCCTCAGTCCACGGGGGTGGGGGTGGGGTTCAGCCCCACAATTTGTACAATTTTGAATCCCCACTACCTAGGGTTGCTTCCAACCAAATATGGTTGATATCTGTATCTTAGTTCCAGAGAAGAAGTCGCTTAAGCAATATAGCCAAATCACCCCTATTTGGCCCCGCCCCTCAGCCCTTGGGGGTTCAGGCCCACCATTTGTACAGTTTTGAATCCCCACTACCTAGGGGTGCTACCAGTCAAATTTCGTTAATTTCTAATAAGTGGTTTAGAAGGAGAAGTCGTTTGAATAAATTGTTGACGTACAGACGACGGACGCCACGATATGGCATAACCTCACCTTGGTCCTTCGGATCCGGTAAGCTAAAAACCATATCCTTCACACAGAGATGTCGTATCGGAGTAAAAGGTCCGATTTTATGAGATTGCCGTAATGAACTTTTGATAACCACCAATATCCATTTGGATCCAGTCGTCTACAGAGCGCAATTCGATGTGCAAGTTATTCCCCTTTACTGCATCGGATATCTGGTTGAAGGTTCGAATCTCAGTTTAACCCTGATAAAGATCATTTGTCCTTCAGCACTGAACCCATGGTCCTGTTTTCTCACCAATTAGGTATAAACGTTGCCTGCGTTACTTCGGACTAAAATCTAACAAAAGGCGGACATACGCTACACAAAATGGTGCCAAACACTGTCACTGGACCCAGGTGAGGGTATTTTTTAACACCGTTGTCAGAAACATTCCAGATATATCGCAGCGACTTAATGATGATAAGAAGACCGATCATGCATCAACCATACATGGAACATGCTATTGATCAGCCCCTCTATGGATGTATATACATAATGCACATATGAATTGCATGTCGTTCGATAATCTATTCCGAGGGACACATTGTGGTTGTTGGTGTGCGTTGTTAAGGGTTGGCTGGCCAACTCTTGTATCAGACGTGCGTAAATCAAACGCGTCAGAAATCGATACAAGGAAAAACAGATCGATAAACTGTCCACGTGCTAACCTCTGCAAATGGAAACCTCCAAGCGGGGAGGGACAGCGTATTCGGTCCCTTTATCCTGTTGTCGTCGTCAACGGTTCTGTGTTCCTCATAACATGAGCAAAGTGTGGTGGCGTAAATTATATTGTTCCAACGCCGCTATATAACTGGAATACTGTTAAAAGCGGCGTTAAACCCAACTCACTCCCTCACTCATTATTGTTCGAGGGTTCCTTAGGGAAGGGGTCGGGGGCATACAAAGGAAGACACAATCTCCTACAATATCCGCATTTTAAAACAATTTACACTCATATTTGTCCTTTACAATTCCCGTCTTCAGAAAATTTGCGCAATATACCCCAACAATATTTTTATATATTTTAAGAGTGAGTTTGGCTTAATGCCGCTTTGGTGAAACCCATGAGCACAGGCGAACCCGGATTCGAACTCACAATCATCTTGATCTTGATCGACATTAAGTAAAATCAAAATTCACTTCACTCTAACCTTCACACATCTTCCCGAGGCAAGGGAGTTAACTGACTGTAAAAGTCCAGTTTCCACCCTTGCCGAACTAGGGTACAAACCGTTTCTTTTTAATAAACACTTTAACAGTGTTATATTGATTCAAGAGAGAATCATTCTTTTAACATGACTATGAATGAATTAGTTTCAGGGGGTTTGTCTAAAAATAACTGTTGTAAAATCAGGGATTATGTATATTCCCAGCGGTAATCAGACATCAGAGGGATTTTAAAATTCCATGTAACACATACATATTACCAGAAAGTACTGGACCCCAGCTGCATGAATATCTAGATATATAATTAAAAAACTACAACTCCAAGGCTCCACAGTTTGATATGGAAGGACAACCTTTTTTCCATTGCATCTCAATTTGGGCTCCTTAGATTACAAACACTGTTATACGTTTATACTGTAATATTCGGGTTATTGTGAAGTTAATTTCTTCTTTCACAAATATCAATTAAATACTAAAAGGCTGTTAAAAGTCAGAGACATAATTTGTCAGATACAGAGATCTTATTCATTCAGTATATCAGGCCATATGACCCATAGTTTGCCTTTGTCCATCCAGTTTTAAAATTAATTTAAGACTTATATCGAGTCGCTTTGCTTTGGAACCTAAAAGTAATCTTCAACATAACCCACACTTTATAATAAAAAAACATACATTAATAATTTAAAAAATATTAATGTATCATTATCTAGTGATTGTGATTATCACAACCCACTGATACATAATGTATATTTTTGTGTTGACATGTGGTCTAATGTCTCAAAGTCCATAGACTTTGTAAAAGAACGAATTTGATTTAAATACCATTCCGATTTATTAACTAGCCACCCCACATTAGCCACTTCAAGCAAGGAAAACGCCAACCACCTAATTATGTCAAGGTTACTTGCTTTAGATGTCAAACATTCAGCTTAAATTATCTATGAAGTCTTGCCATCCAGAGACATAACGTTGCATTTCTTGGCACCTATCTGTCACTGGAGCATGTTGGGAGACGTGTAGTCATTCAATGTCTCATGGGACTTGAATCACACACTTTCTAGTTTGATCAACATTTGTCTATCAGTCTATTGTTTTAGTGCCCCCTTCCGACTTCAGATCACCCACCCAATTTTCCATGCCTGCACACAACTACAACCACCAGAACCCATTGGTTGTTACAATGATCTCTGGGGCTGATTAGGTCCCAAGTACACCATGCAAGTAAAAGTTTGACCTGGCAAAGAGGTGAGGTGAGGTGAAATTGGGTTTAACGTCGCGTCCAAGATTATTCTACTTATATAGCGACGTGCATGTACGTGTGTGTGTTTGTGTGGCTGATTGTACTGGTCCGGACTGATGCCGATTTATAGTGCTAGCCCACTGAGATACCATGCCGCAGTTTAACATGAATACCCCACTCAGACACAGTATACTGACTCCGAGCCGACCAGTACTTGTTTTACCCTCTAATGCCGAGCGCCAGACAGGGTAACAACAAGTACCATCTTTTAACGTCTTTTGGTATGACACGGCCGGGGATCGACCCCCGGACCTTCCGCTCTCCGGGCGGACGCTCTACCACTAGACCACAGAGGCGGTCCGACCTGGCAAAGAAGGGCTCTAGACAGTTGCTGGTTTGATCAACCCCTGGTTTGCGTGTGCCAGAATATTACATCATTTTCATGCCGACTCCATATGGTTATATTGCTAGCTGCAAGATCTAACTCATTCCACCAGACCCTCATACAGTCATATACTGCTCAGTGGATATAATATCTTACCAGGTGAGCAGCAATGGTGGGCACTATTCTTTCTTTGACGCAAAGATGACATTGCAAATGATACCAGTGTGCCATACGTTTCCTGCATTCATTTACTGTGTACTTTTTATTACTCTGAAAATCTCCTACATCTCTGGTTATGGTCAGTTCAAGACACCAGGTTCAAGGATTTGTGTTAGTTGTTTTTTTAAATCAAATGGTTTGACGTTTTCTCCCTGATGTTGTGTCAGTTGTTGAAATAAAATGTGTGTTAAAATGTGTGAAGATATCTTTCAGATATACGCTTTGATAATGTGAATCCGTTGCGATGGCAAAGTCCACACAGTCAAGCAATATATGCTTGATAGTGAACCTTTCATCACAAGGGATACATTTAGGAGGTTCGTCCTCATCTGTCTTAATCAGATATTCGTGTGTAAACAGACTGTCTAATACATCTTCGTAACGACCTCGTCATGTCTTGACTGACAACCCAAGTAGGTATGACCGTTTGTTGGTTTCAATTCGTGAAGTTTGTTTCCTACCTGGGTGTCCCACCTCTTTTGCATGAGATCCCGAGTATAACTTTTGATGGTTGGTTTGAAATCACTGTACAGCATCAGTGGGGGAGATAACGGTTTGTCAAGAGCTGCTTTAGCTGCAGCAGCGGCTTTTGAATTATCTATATGCCTACATGACTTGGTAACCAGCAAAAGACATCGTCGATGTCGCATTGGCCAGTAGAAAGATCATTGATAAGTTCAAAAATGTCTAGGATTATGGGATGATTTTATAAAGGAGACACTTTTAAGTGTCTGAAAGCATGACAATGAATCAGTAGTGACATTGCAAAATTTAGTATGTTTAATATCACATGAATATATAAACACAAATTATGAAAAATGATTTTATTTTTCAACAAAAGTTTTGATGGTACACATCTTGCTGGAAAAAAGTTTTCTCGAACACATACAAATGGGTTCAAATTGTATCTTGTAGAAGTTACAACTGAGGTGGTGAGATGAACCTGAAGAAATCTGTAATAATTCTCTATCAGTGAAATTTATGGTAATGAAACTTTGATGTTTTCATGATCACAATAAATAGCACTTCCACTTAAGTACACGGTACACCAAGTGGAGATACGTTTCACAGTATTTGACACAGTAAAAGTCTTTACTTTCCAGGAAAAGTAGCTCAGTCAACTTCCTCCATCCTGGAGGCATCATCTTCATCACCTTCAAGTGGTGGCATCTCATCTGTGCCAGATTCAGCTGTAGGCTCAGTTGGGATATCATCTTCATCAATTCCTGGAAATACAAGAATTAAACATGTCAAAGACAAAGAATGTGATGCCAAATAAAAGAAAATTACCTGCTATTCCAAATATAACATGCTATCCCATTTAACCCTGTAATGGCAGACTACACTTTGAAAAAGCTGCCTGCATCCTCCAAATCAACTGTTTGGGATCATAGTAGTTTTCTGTGTTACTTTTGTAACAGATGAAGAAGAAACAGTCATGTCACCATAGTTTCGGTGATCTAAAATAAACACAAGTATTTCAAATGGCAATTGTGTTATTCTGTTGTATCGAGATATGTATCATATCATGATCAGTGGAGCAAGATATGTATGTATCTTATCATGGCCAATATTGCAGCATTCCAATATCACTGCACCCCTAAAAATGATTGAGAACTTACCAAGACCCAGCTTGATCATCCTGTGTATCCTGTTGGCATGTGATGTTGGGTCTTCCAGGGAGAAGCCGGAGGCAAGGAGAGAGGTTTCAAACAGCAGCATGCACAGATCTTTCACTGCCTTGTCGTTCTTGTCAGCATCAGCTTTCTCCTTCAGTGTCTTGACAATGGGGTGGTCAGGGTTGATCTCCAAGTGTTTCTTGGCTGCCATGTAGCCCATAGTGCTGGTATCTCGCAGTGCCTGGGCCTTCATGATCCTCTCCATGTTGGCTGACCACCCATACTGACTTGTGACAATACAGCAAGGGGAGGTAACCAGACGATTGGAAACCACAACCTAAAACAGACATAATCATTACTATTTCATACAATACATAATCTACAATGGTGTGGTGCTCCACATCAGTGATTTTATAGGACATCGAGATATACAGATATAAAGCACTCAATGCCCAGGGTATTTTCATCAGCTGGTAAGATATTCAAGCACATTAAGGAAAGCAGCTATCATTGGATAGGAAATAAGAATGATTATTGACTGTAAATAGATTGTATACAAATTGTTTTCTTCCAAGTTGTAAACAAATTTCAACAGTATTCTTAACAATTTGAAATAGGAACTGATGTGAAAAACTCAATGCATTCTCAAGGCACATTATCCGTTTTCAAAGTTTGCAAACACTATAGTTGTGATTTAGCTGGTCAAGAAAATCAAGCACCAACCTTTTCTACTTTCTTGTCAAGAATCTCCTTCATGACCTTGCACAGTCCTTCAAACTGAGCCTTGGATTCCTCAAGTTTCTTCTTTTCTTCCTCATCCTCTGGCAGTTCCAGGCCTTCCTTGGTGACACACACCAGGGTCTTCCCATCATACTCTTTCAGCTGCTGGACACAGTACTCGTCAATAGGGTCAGTCATGTAGATCACCTCAAATCCCCTCTTCTTCACTCTCTCAACAAAGGCAGAGTTCTGAACAGAGTCCTTGCTTTCACCTGGAAAGAGATCAAGATGAAAGACAGGGTTTCAGACTGGCTCAAAAGACATGGAGTGTCTACATTACTTTCAAAATTGTTAACCTCACATCATTCATAAAATCACAAATTTTTTTTAGAATGTTTAACATGTTACCGAGAAAAATCACTGCATGTATAACTTCATTCAAACCTCACATGGCAGGACTGTAGGAAACCTTAAACTCTATGGACTCAGGAATTTCTATTTCACCATACTGATAAGAATGAAATCTAGCAAAAACTAATATCATTGACTTACCAGTGATGTAGTAGATGCTCTTCTGGTTTTCCTTCATGCGCGACACATAGTCCTTCAGGGAGGTCACCTCATCCCCTGACTGGGATGTATAGTATCTGAGCAGCTCGGACAGCTTCTTTCTGTTGGTGGAGTCTTCATGGATACCAAGCTGCATCAAATGATAAACCATTTTAGCAACCACTGAATATGTACCACATCAAGATTTTGGAGCTCCTGCAAGCTTACAGTTGGAGCAATTATTTGAAAACCCAATTACACGACAATTAAATACAATGTTTTTTTGCAAACTGTACCTAAAATAATGCGTATATTTAAATGAATACCTTGAGGTTTTTGCTGAACTGGTCATAGAATTTCTTGAAGTTGTCCTTGTCTTCCATGATGTCATCAAACAATTCCATGCACTTCTTCACCAGATTCTTACGGATAACCTTCAAAATCTTGCTCTGTTGCAACATTTCTCTGGATATGTTAAGAGGAAGATCCTCAGAGTCTACAACACCACGCACAAAGTTCAAGTACTCTGGAATGAGATCTTCACAGTTGTCCATGATAAACACACGTCTCACATACAGCTTTATGTTATTCTTCTTCTTCTTGTTCTCGAACATGTCAAATGGAGCCCGCTTGGGCAGAAACAGCAAAGCACGGAACTCCAGCTGTCCTTCCACTGAAAAGTGCTGAAATCACAAAGGGAACGATTAATTTTCTCTCACCACAAATTAATATGATCATTTATAATTTAACTAAAATTGTTCAAAATAATGTCACTGGCAAGCCCTTTTGCGGTTATGTAAATGTTATAACTAACCATTGCCATAATTCATATCATTATTTCATATCTGCTATTTCCACTTAAACGCCCAATGGAATCTGTTTCAATGTATAATCAAGAGTGGTTGTTTTCTGGTATTGACAAATATTTTACATCAGTTCGGTTCTCTATAACCTATGTACCTTGACAGCAAGATGGTCTTCCCAATCATTTGTCAATGACTTATAGAACTCTGCATATTCTTCCTGTGTGATATCATCTGCATTTCTGGTCCACAGTGGTTTGGTCTTGTTCAGTTCTTCATCTTCTGTGTATTTTTCCTTGATCTTCTTCTTCTTCTTTTTGTCCTTGTTTTTGTCTTCATCCTCATCTTCATCAAGATCTTCTACCTTGGGTTTCTCCTCATTCTGAAATTAAACGCAACATTACTGAGTATGAAATAGGAATAGACATAGGCATAGACATATTGCAATTACTTCATCCATGGATTTGCCTAAGTGGACTTGGTCAAACAGTTCAGGGTCTCACCTCTTCATCCTCTTTCTTCTCCTCATCCTCTTTCTTCTCTTCTTCTTCCTCATCATCAGACACCTCCTTGTCTCTCTCCTTCTCAACCATCAGCTTGATTGGGTAACCTATGAACTGGGAGTGCTTCTTCACAATCTCCTTGACACGACGCTCCTCGAGATATTCAACTTGGTCTTCCTTCATGTAAAGGGTGATCCGAGTTCCACGAGGGAGGGTGGGATCTAAAAATAATAGGACATATTCATTTCAATCCCCACTGTTAGAAACATGCATTAACAAAACAATGTTGTTTTCATGATCCAAAAAGATAGTAAAGTAGTAGTGCTTAATACTAATAGGCATTAATATTTCTTGCATACAAGGGATTGGCATACCAGTAATAAAAAGGGGTATCTGGAGTTTTTTACTGTAATATTTGAATCTGAACCCCCTTAACATTTGGCTTATGACAACAAACCCTTGACAATCATTCTTATTGATTGAATAACACTGCTTTTATCTTGTCCAACTATATAGTAAAAAAAAGGCATTTACCATTTGAATTTTTTATGGTGAAAGACCCTCCAGCTGACGACTCCCAGATGTACTGTTCATCATCATTATGTTTCGACTCAACAACCACCCTCTCTGCAACAAGGTAGGCTGAGTAGAAACCCACACCAAACTGTCCAATCATAGAGATATCAGCACCTGCCTGCAGGGCCTCCATGAAAGCCTTTGTTCCAGACTTGGCAATGGTACCAAGATTGTTGACAAGATCGGCTTTGGTCATACCAATACCGCTGTCCTGGATGACAAGGGTTTTATTCTCCTTATCTGGAACAATTCGGATCTGCAGGTCTTTGCTCGCATCCAGTTTGGATGGATCTGTGAGGGATTCATAACGAATCTTGTCCAAAGCATCAGAGGAGTTGGAAATCAGTTCTCTCAAGAAAATTTCCTTGTTGGAGTAGAAAGTGTTGATGATCAAGCTCATCAGTTGGGCAATTTCTGCCTGGAAGGCAAAGGTCTCAACCTCAGCCTCTTCCATCTGGGCTTCCTGAGGTTCTGGCATCTAAAACAAAAGAGACATAATGCTCAATAAGGGCACAAGATATATGTACTCATGCAAGGGTCGCATTTTATAGGGAATTTCGACCACTGAGCCACATCATGGTGAGAGTATATCTGAAACTTCGTAATGCATGTGATGGACAGTTACTATGTTCTATTATTTCAAAGTGTTCCAACGAATCCTCACTTTATGGAATAACCATAGATGACCAGAAGACTTTACTCAGCGGGTATTGTGGATAACGGATTCCAGTTTACACATGTTCAGTAGGTTTTCTCTAAACACTTTGATAACCAAAAAATGCGATCAGTGCTTTAGGCCAATTCTGTGTCGACGATGTCCGATTGTAGTAATGAATGAAATTGATAAAAGACACCCAAATGTTACCTGGCAAATTAACGTGAGAAGAGCAATACAAGTTGACATCATCAAAGTTACATGAATCATCCATTTGTACATATCGAGTATAAAAAACCAACATAATTAAGGTGGCTATCGGTGGCCGAGAAAGACAAAGGAAGCTGAGAGAACAAACAGACCGTGATCAAACCCACATTGTCCCAATCAGAATGCATTATGAATGCAATTACCTATGCAATATTACAAAGATATGTAAAAGCTCAACGCAACTGCTCTAGCAAGCTCATCAACGTTCTAACTCGGCACTCCGGTGATGAGAACACTTTTAGCGTAACTCACATAAATTATCGATCTGGCTGAATCCAATAGAAAACTGTTGACAAAATCCTATTTCCAAATGACTTCATGTATTTTGATCATATCTAATGAACAATATAAGAGAACACACTGTATTAGACGAGCGTGTCTGATCAGATCGCGTCGGTAACGATCGTTTTACAAACCACGTGCTTCCCCACGCCCGGCTTCCTTGTACACAACAAAGTTTGCGATCACGCTCTTTTTGTGAAATTTTGTCTGAGTATCTTTAGACAGATCGAATGTATCACATTCAATGTGTTTGCCCTTAAATAATACTCACCTTGAATTAATTCAGTGGCACGATAGAGAAAAATCACAAATTTCTAAGACGCTCTTCGCTGTGCTCTTCCCCTGTCGGCTGCTACAGCGTGATTGAACGAGTCCGGTTTTATAGACGCGCGCATACCCTGGACGGAAGCTCGCGCAGATCGAGGAGTTTCTAGAACATTCTGCGGATGTGACGTCACGCTTTATTTGCTGGCTGAGTTCTGTCTGTAGTTTCGTGATATAGCGAACATAATATTCCATTCGCATTCAGAGAAAACCACTTCTTTCAATGTGGAATACCCACTGATTGCAACTTCTGCTGTTGTTGACGCTAAAATATAGACAAATGATATTATTTTTTGGTTGCATTCGAAGTAATGCCGGTGTGATACATAAGAAAGGATCTACACATGAAACTTCAACCTAAACCGATGTCACACATTATCTGCTTGAAATAAAAGAATTAAGTAAAGTAATATTTACACAAAACGTTAAAGCCATACGGGGAAATCGCGTTTAAGATTTGAAAAAATATGTCATTAGTAGTACTTTTATGTACAACACTTTAATTGCTTAGTTATTGACGCGATTAATATATACGTTTATATATTATTCTATGACAGCTATATATATATAATATGTATGTTAGCGTATGTAGAGTAACCTGTTAAGAATATGAAAGAATATTCCCAAACACACCCTCAAACGTGTCAACGGACTGTTTTTAGAACTATCCACGAACATGTTTGATAGTTGTCTGGTAGAATCGATATAAATATAGACAGGACAATAAAACACGTTACAAGAAACATACGCATCCTTGTTTTGTAAATGTAATTTTTTCCTGTCGAAATAAGGGATCTGATGACATGTGTGATGTTGTGTTGGGTTGAGTATAGAAATGGTGCAAAATAACATTTATTCAGGATGTATCATTTGTTTTCACATTACCCAGCGTAACCACTCCAACCCTTCCTCCATAGTGTAAGCAGTAGGTAGGGGTAAAACGAATCAGGAATTACAGAAACAATGAATATAAAACTTTTATGAGTGAGTTAGGTTTAACGCCGCTTTGTTTTGATATTTCAGTTCTATCACGGCGAGTCAGCGAATCATGTGAAGAAACGCCTCAAGTGATACATGTCGACATTTTGTACTATGCACGAATTCACCATCGATCGAGAGTAGGCCTATAGTTTTGTTTGTTTGTTGTTTAACGCCGCACACAGCAATATTCCAGCTATATTACGGCGGCGGCTGTAAATAATCGAGTCTGGACCAGACAATCCAGTGATTGACATCATGAGCATCGATCCACGCAACTGGGATCGATGACATGCATCAACCAATTCAGCAAGCCTGACCATGCACCCCATCCAGTTAGTCGTCTCTTACGACAAGCATAGTCGCCTGTTACGGCAAGCATGGGTTGCTGGAGACATTTTCTACCTCGATCGGATCTTCACGGGTTAGTAGGCCTATAGCAAAATATTGCTTTGCATGAACTGTAATGTACACCCAACCAATGGGATCAGGCTCACTGACTTAGTTGATGGATATCGATCATCGCATACCAGTAGCCTAGATCGATGCTCATGAATGATGTCAATCACTGGATTGTCTGGTCCAGACTCGATTACTCACAGACCGCCGTCATATGGCTGGAATACTGCTGAGAGAAGTGTAAAACAAACAAACACACAGATATAAAAACTTAATCCAGATATTTTCATGCTTGTCCATATATACACTAAACTACCTTCTTCCGATATCCCATGTACTGCATGTAAGATAACTAAATCGCAAACCATTGCTTCAAGACTCGCGATCACGTTTTCTTCTTTCATATTTGTAAATTAACAGTTGACCTCAGCATATTATAGAGGTCATCCAGCTTTTCTTTCGGAATTGTGAACTATGTCTATGAAATACCGGTTGAATCAAACAGACTACATACACAAACACGGAATTTACATTCACATATTGAACCTACAATTCATATTTTGGGGCGAGTGTGGGGGTAAGATGCTTGGTGTTTGTCCGACGTCTGCAGTCTCTACACTTCAAAGCAGCCAATTGTTTTCTCTGAAAGGGGGAGGCAAATAATCGACCCACAGCACATCCAGCATGTTCAGTAAAAGATAAGTTTATTTTGTGCGTGTTAAACATGAGGGCAGTATAGATTCTAGCATTTTAGAGCTACAGATTACTTTTTGAAATTAAACCCACCCCGACCCCACCCGTCCCACCCAACACGATTGTCGGTTCCTATGGAAACAATTCCTAATGTAATGTACATTCAAATACTGATTCAATTAGGCTTTCTTAGAACCTGATATCTAATTACAACATGAACGCTTTAATTAGCTATATTGTTCCACTAAGTACCCTCATAAAACTGACCTGGGCAACAATTACGCAACGTCTAATTGTAATGAGCTTGGTAGCTGGGATTCTCAATGGGGTGTTGTGTGCTCCCCGACTGCGCTCTGTAACCCCCGCCATCCAAGCAGATCCCGTGTTTCCTGTTTGCATAATAATTCATGCATTGCACTGATTAGCGCTGAGGGACATATACAAACTTGAAACCGGAATGATATAACCTGCTTATTGATGTCCCGGTTTTTTTTTCCAAATAACCAATTAGTCTATATAAGATCTTATGTAGACTACCAGGAATCACAGAAATTATTTCATACTTTTTTTTCTGGATGATGAATGTTTAACTTATCGTAAACTGGTGTAATGTTATATAATAGTGAATGAAAATGACTTAACATTTGATTGGGATATTTTGTGGTAAGGGCCCGGTTCCACAAAGCGATCTTAGCGGTAAGATGATCGTAAATCCCATACTTATTAGGCTTACGACAGTCGTAGCGCTAAGATCGCTTTGTGGAACGGGTCCCAGGTTAGGATGAGATACTACGGATGACTTGGAGGTGACACAAAACTGAGAAAACATTTTCCACGCTGCTCTGTCCTAGTAGTTTCGTAACAGTAGGACACAGAGCTTATTATACCCACAAGGTTAGAAATAACCGCGAGTTCATAAAATCGTGTGTGCAATGGTGCAAATTAGGAGATAAACATACTGTGTTTTCAATGTAGAGCTAGGTTACCTGTAGATTTAGCCCCGCTAAATTGAATTTGGAACCGAACGCGCATCCATTCTGCCATAACTAAAAAAAAAGCGATCTCTTTGGTGTTAGCAAATATACTGAGTGAAGCGGCATGGGTTGAGTTCAGTGTTTTGAGCGGGTTATCGATCTGAATTACGGAATCACCGAACAAAATATGGTGCTGTATATACTCAAGCAGTTTGTTTACACCGTAATACTTCACTCGAACATATGACAGGCATTGAAAGCATATAAGCACGGCAACTTGGTGAGCTAACATGAGGTGGGCATCCCTAAAAAAAACAAAGCAAGCTTTGTAAGGCTTTCGCTCTACATCGCACGTCACAATTACGACGTCATATCGCTCATTGTGACGCAAAAGATATGACGTCACAGTCGTATATAGAAAAGCGCCAAAATTCCAAGCTCTCTGTTGTCTCCAAAACGTAAATACATTCCCTTTGTTGATTTCTGTCGTGTTTTTGTGCACGAAATGTATTGCCACACCTCCTTTGAATATTGCAGTAACCGCATCTGTGCATTTTGTAACCTGTAATTGTAGATATAATTATTTAAATATGCCTACCGACAATGACTGAAAATAGTACTATTCTATGAATATTAGCTTCCGCGGTGAAGCGGCCGTCAAACCAGGGGCGCGTTGCAAGCCACCAATCGCTTAGAGAAAGCAACTAACTCGCTCACCCAGGGGTCTGCAACAGTTCGAAGCGCTTGCGCACTCTTCCAAAATGGCGGCGCAACCACCGCTTGGTTGCCTTGACGTAATGAAGAACGTAATAGAAGAGGCTCGATGACGAGCTGATCAGATTTATGACTACTTTGAAGATGTGAATCCGACCGAGGATGATGGGGTGTCAGCTGCCTTTACTCATTTCCTCGTTGATCCAGTCAAGAATTTCTTCTTCCGCTGTCAAAGTCAGCCGCCATTTTGGTTTGACAACGAAGCGACCTCAGCCAGCGATTGTTTCGCTTGCAAGCGGCGTAAAGTTAGCGCACTGATGTAAGGCGAATCGCTGTACATCGCTTGCAAGCGATTGGCGCTTTGCAACGCACCCCAGCTGTTTCAATCAGAGGGGGTTTATTGTGATTTAATAGCCTCTGATTGACCAATCAGAATCGAGTAAATTCCAAATTCATGGTAGAATATCCATTCACGCTCATCACTGTATTGTTTACGTCATCCGGACGACATTGTTGACGTCATTCTATTCTTATATTGTTGAATATAAGAAAACTATGTGACAAATCGCAAAGAACAATGGAGAACGAAGCGTGGTCTATTATACCACGATAAAACATTATTCTATCATGACGCCATTTCAGGAGATTCGAACATGCGCTCGCAACTTGATGACGTCGTAAAAATGGACGACGTTATTTTTTAGAGGGAAGTGTCGAGTGAGTTGTTCTCCATATATGTAGCCGGGCAACGTAGATAAACGCAAGGACCGAAGGATCGCACCCAAAAGTCGGAGAGATATACATATGCGCGTTTGGCTTTGGGGGTTAACCCTATGTTTACCCGTTTCGTTCCAAATCCTACCTTTATTCTGATGAGGGTAACGGCTTTCTGTGAGCATAATGACGGGGATAATACACCTGGTCTAACATATTACTGCAATGCATTATGGGTTTACAGATCGCAGACCCAAAATAATATACCAAACTGCCGGACACTAGTAAGCGTACCCTTGAAAATTAGATTTGACCCAAACATTACAAAACGTTATCAAAACGTAACTAGGGTGAAAACAGTCGCCGAAACACTGCATATTTAAGGTACAAAACACAAGATGCATACACTGTGCAACAGGGAAAATTCGCTAAACATATTTTTCGGGTACCCTTAAAAATGCATGTGCAGGAAAGGGTACCCGTAAAAATGCACGTTTAGAAATAGTATAATATGCAATGGTCGTTGCCAAACCATGAAGACATTAATTGATGTTGCCAAGACATGCCAGAGGGCCGTAGGAAAATGGGGCAAATCGGTGCTCCACCACACCCAGATTGCAAGAAACTT